TTTTTTTTTTTTGGGAACAAGCCTAACAAGCTTTGGGTATTCTTAGTAAACATTCTGTGCAATCCAAAGAAGTTTCTAATGCTCGTATGTACCAAAAGTTCTCAGTACTTAATTTATCCGTTTCTGTAATGCTGTATCGTATATTTTAGTGAAATCCTAATTTGTTTCCTCTGAAAGCTTCATTTTTAGTCACATGGTAGGAATTGACAGTATGTTGCTAACTTCATCCATCTAATTCACATGGTAAAATGTGAAACAGAGCACTCTAATCCCTTTGTATGGTCCTCCGATTTTACGGTAATGATCTCATTCACAAATTTCTGTGGTTCAGATAATTTACATGTATGTTGCATTATAGTAAGCATTCCAAATTCCCTAATGAATCATTTAAAGCTGTCCAATCATTGAATTTCTTGCGACTAATTTTTATATTTATTGTTCTTTTATTGTTGAAGATTACCCTTTAGGTTCATATTACCCGCGCGCGGCTCTCAGTAAAGCAACTGGCAACCGTAAGTCTACAATTGCTCGTACTTTTTTATCCATAAATACAACTATTATCACTTGTTCAATCAGTTGATAATAGTTTTTTTTTTTTTTTTTTTTTAATAAATAAAAAATTTAAAATTATTTACAGATATGCATATCAATTACCTCCTGTTAAACTTTGACGAAATATTTTGTTCGGCTGGATCGTACTGCCCAACTACCACGCAAAAGACTCAATGTCATAAGTTAGATTTCTTTTCGCCTATATTTGGCTTCGGAACACTTTCCAAAGTAAAGGGCGACACTTTCGGCTATTATGGATACACGTATACAGTAATTGCAGTGTGTAAGTAGATTTCTTTTCACCTATATTTGTAACCTTCTTTAATCGAAAAAATTTCCATTCAGATCGATAATACATTACCGTAATTTCTGTTTTTTGCAGCACTATTGTGTAAGATTTCGGCCTTGAGATCATTTTCGCTCGACAAGTTACAGTTCGGGAGAGAGAGAGAGAGCGAAAGCGGCATGAGCTGCTTGGCATATTTCCTCTCGAAAGAAACAGTCGATCATTTCAACACACTTATCAAGCCACTGGTTTTCCTCCATGTTTTATTCTTTCAGCAACCCAAGATCAACTTTCATGCAAAGAGTTAGTTAATCGAGTTTGGATGGTTAATCTAGTTTGGAGGGTTGATTTACTAATTGATTTACCAAATTGTGCATGGTAAAGATCTTGATTTTAATTATTTTTAATTAGAAAATTAATCAGCGTTCAATTAATCGACATTACCAGATTTATTTACGAACTCATACGAAATTATGTGTTGACAAAATCAGAACACTGAATTTTGTAATATTATCAGGAGAAGATTAACATATACTTATTATTATTTGTATTTTCAACAATTCAATCTATCAATGAATCTGTTGCATGACTAGGGCTGCAGATGTTCCGACCCGAGTCAAGCATTAGCCTTATCGAGCCATGTTGATATATTTGACGCCTGTTGGAGCTTGAGCTTGACAAGCTTGTCTTGTTCGAGGCTAGGCTCGACAACAAAACACAAATGTTTGGGATCAGCAAATTTTGCTTGCGATTGGGTTGAAAATTACAATTTAAAAGGTCTACTAAAGGGCATTTTAGATAATTTTACTACATTCTAGCGGCTCGTTAACCCGAGCTCAATTTGAATTTCAAATGCTCGAGCTTAGTCAAACTCAAGCTCGAGTCAGACGTTGACGGTAGTGCTCACAAGTCCAAATGTCATTTTCAGACTAATGATGGGGGTTAACACCCCAACATTCTTAATAAAGTTGTACTACTATTAAATAGAAGTAGCACAAGTTGACTAATCCAAGACTTGGGTTGACTAAAGACTTGGGTTGACTAATTGGTTGACTAAAGACCAACCATTTGATAAATCATTTTTATATTATTATTGATGAATAAAATTAAAGTTAAAAAGCCCCATAAAAAAGCTGTCACTGTCAGTGGTAAATAATAATAACTGCTCCTCCTCACAAACAGCGGACGCCAAACCTCGTATTCCATTACAACTTTGTAAAACCTCTTTCGATTCCGTCGATAAATTTTGCTACTTTTGACACTACTCTCTCTCTCTCTATATCTCGCCGAGGACCGGAGACAGCTCGGGCGAACGGAAGTTTTAGGTTAGCATTTTTTTAATGTTAAAAATTGAATCTTTTTACATTTCGAGGTGTTTGTACCTTTCAGTTTCTGTAAATTTTTGTCTAGCAATGTAATGGCTTCGTTGTTCTTGTCATACTTTATCTTGTAGCTTTATTTTTTGTTTAATTTCTTGCTTTGTACCCTTTTTTTAGTGCGTGTGCGTGTTTCTTGATTGATGTTAAAAAATTCATGTTGAAAGAAAAGTTCATGGTGGGATGATAATTGAACCCATTTCTCGATTATTATTGTTTTCAATGTGTAGCGTAGATATTACGCATGCTTTTAGAATGTGCAATTGATGTCAAGTAATCATTTTTCATCGTCGTCTTAGGGGAAAATGTGTTTGTAAAAGCACAAGCGTGCGATATCTCGGAAAAAAATCAGGAAGAAAATATTGCATTTTGGTCGAATTTTGGCTGAAATGATTATTGTTGATAAAGATTACCTTCTTTTCTTAAATTTGAACCCCTTTTTACTCCATTAACGGGTAATGTACTAATGTGCCTAATAGAATGCCCGAAATGCAAAGTAGCCTCGAGCAATTTTGACGTATCATTTATTGTGATTCGATACGGAACAAGCTTTACGAGTTACTGTCAAATTTATCGTAAATGATACAGTTTTTGGACGGTAGTGCTTAAGTAGAATACTTCTCGTATAATGAAAAAAGTATTTATCAGGTCATATGGAGGATGGACCAGTAACAATTGGATTTGAAGATGAGACAATGGATGTTGATTGTCTGCTTGATGAGAAGATCCCAGAGAAAGCCATGGGCATGGACGATATATGTTGCCACTTTGGTACTATCTTATCTTAAAAATTAAATGGCTGAGTAATTATATTGTACTTTGTGGAATGAGTTTAGGAGTGAACTGATCAGATTGCTTTTGAAATACACGTGTTCTTTACAAATGAAATATATTTCCATTTTTCTTCATTTCATTGTAGCCTGGGAAAGTTGCTGTACTGATTCTTTTCTTTTCTTGTGAATTTTGTTAATGAAATTTAAATCTTCTCGAGTTATTATCGTGTGAATTTGTTTGACACACATGTAATTACTTGTTTTTTAGTTTTGGTTATAACCGTTGCTCATAAAATTAGTAAATATTGCAGGTGTCACAAATGCTGCTGTTGCTCTGGAAAGAGAAAATATTCTGAGTCGTGATGTATGTCATAGTTGCGACTCTTGCGGCTACTAATTTGGTTTAATTGTTGCGACTTGGTTGCTTTTTTCTCCCTTTTTTTTGGTGTGTATTTTGATTTCCAAAGATGGTATGTGCAGGTACTTGACTCAGTTAGCAGTGAAGCCGATGTGGGATATTTTCGACTGCATAATGATTTCTGTAGCATGGGGGAAGATTATCTTCTGGGTAGGCACTTTTTTAATTTTTTTCTTGATTTTAATTGATATGATAATCGTTGGCCGAAAGTAAAATAAAAAATCAAACAATATATTATACAGGTGTTAGATTTTCCGAAAGTATCACAAACCTGGATTATGGTCCAAGTGAAGGCTTGCTGACTTCAGTTTCAGACAGTTCAGTTCTACCAAACGATCTATTTACAATTATGGAGTTGCCTGATTCACCAAACGATCAACTTAACATCGACACCTCTGATTTCGGTGAAGTCCCAAATTTTTGCAATGAATCTGAAACACCCATTATCGAAAAGCCTCCAAAATCGCCTGTTTCATCATCTACTTCACACGATATTGACAAGTTCCATAATATTTCAAGCAATTCTTTAGAAATGTTATTGGATGAGAAAGATGATGAATTTGGGCCCACTGGCCAAAATATGGAGCCAAACAGATCAGAAATAAAATCGAGTCGAGAAGAATGCACTCCCCAAAAGAGATCACGTAAGCCCACTAAGAGGTACATCGATGAACTTGTGGACCCAATTCCGAAAATTCACAAGAAAAGGCGGGAATTTTTGTATTCGGCTGTGAAGGATAATAAGAATTGCCATATGGGATCTTCTAAAGTTTTGGGCCAATCAGCTGCTGAAGATTCGTCTGTTGTAGCAATTCAGGTGCCGTTTGGATCTTTAGTGCATAAAGAATGTCCGAAGAGGAGCCCTTCACGTGATATGGTGAGTTTTTATTATTTGCACGATATTTTCCGGGTCATCACTTGATTATATATGGTTTGCTGCTGATTTTTTTTTAAATTTTTGCTTTTTGTACTCTACTCGTTCTCTGTGTTTACCAAGTATAAAAGGTATAATGTTTTCTCTTGATGCCAGCATGAGGAAATCGGCACTTGGCATAAACGAACGCGAAGTACAGACAGAGGGCATTCGACTCTTAAATCAAAAGATAAAAAAGGAAGGGACCGTTTTATTACAGCCGTTTATCCTATGAAAATCGATTGTAGTCCCACATCAGCAGCAAATGAGAAGAAAAGTGAGTTGTTTCAGGCAAATAGTCCCAAGAAAAACAATTGTATGAAAACAACAAATAAAATTAGAAGAGAAGAATATGCAAATGCAACTGAAACAAGCTCCGAGGAAGCTAGCGGCCGTCGAAAGCATCACAGGCTATGGACTGTTTCGGAAGTTAAAAAGTTAATCGATGGCGTGTCTGAATATGGAGTCGGGAGATGGAGCCGGATAAAGAAGCTCTTGTTTTCCGCATCTGCTCATCGAACCTCTGTGGATCTCAAGGTTTTGTTTTAATTCCTTTTTTTTTTCTCTTTATTTATTTGTTTAGAATAATAAAACTTGTTTATCATTTGTTGATATGTGGTTTTTTTATACAGGACAAATGGCGGAATCTTTTGAAAGCAAGCCATATGCAGCTAGGCAATCAACAGGTAGTTTTTTTATGTGGATTATTTTGTCTAATATTTGTATACTTACATAAATAGTAACCTTGATAGACTGTTAATATTCAAAAAACACAAATACTTCGTGACATATGTTTCCATTCTATGAAGGCAATTATCAAGGAGCTGAATTGTAAAATAATACTAACCTCAAGGATGTATATGTAAATGTATTCGTTTTCCAAACGATGATTTGGGTCTGTGTGTAACTAGGCTAAATCTGAGGGGTAATTTTACAATTTATCCTGATATATTACCACTATTTCGACTCATGCAAAATTTTCTAGTTTCATTATCTGATTCACATATTAATTTCCAATCATATCATCTAATTCACGGTTTGTTTCAAAAGATCTGATAAAAAAAAATGCCCGAAATTTTTCAATGCAGGGAGAAAATAAACGCAACATGGCCTGGCGACCCCTGCCCAAATCCATACTGCGCCGTGTCTGTGAGCTTGCAAACATGTATCCTTATCCCAAGTGCCGAACCAAACACAAGATTACCCGTGACTCGCCCGACAGGAACACAGATCTCACATTAACCAACTACAGAAGAATCTTGCAGAGTATTAATGGAAACTGACTAGCATTTTTTTTTCTTTTCTATGCTAATAGCATTGTCTAGGACGAATTTTACTCGTCGTGACAAGATGATGTGTGCCTGATTCTGAATGAGCACGGATTTTATTTTTTTTTGGTCGGATTTTGGACGGTACTGGATTTTACGGGACGAACGGTGGTGTGAAATATATGAATTGCATGGACTTTGTGCAATAATTTTTCTGTCTTACTAGCATCTGTTTGTAGAAAGAGTCAAAGTGATGTTGAGAGATAAATGATATTTTCAGGTGGAATTTTCTTGTGGTCCTCTGGATTTTTGTGTTCTGGATTTGAATTTTCTTAAAAGCACATATCTAATTGGACTGTTAAACGGAACAAGTTGCTCGTGAATTCGGCTTGAAAATATAGATTTTTATCTAATTTTCATAGCTTGGTTTGTTAAGGTTCGAGTTTGTCTTGTTGATATTAATAAATGAGCTGAGCTTGAGTTCGTTTATTGGCTCGACTTAAATAAGAATTGTGCCCGAGTTCGAGTATTAAGAACTTGAGCTCGGTTCAGTTCGTTTACACCTTTAAATTGCACCCAATCCCAATGTATTTTCTTTTTTTCCTTCTTCAAAGATAAAACTCTCAGAGATCCAAACATTCCCCTAAGCAGAAGAATTGTGGATTAACATGGACTTCACTTGATAATGTGGTTCAAGTTTACTTTCTAAAATTAATATTTTAAGTAATCTGGTATTAGACATATATGAGTGGGGATCATATTTTAATGTTATTTTATGTGGAAAAATTAAAAAAAAAAAAGATTAGTCTTGTGTAAAATAGCTGCATAATTAACTTTTGTAAGTGTGGGTTGTTGACACCAAAGTCAACAAGAAGATAATATAATATGCTCATTAGGCTTTTTGGTATATAATATAATAAATACATAGTAGTGGAGTATGATTCTTTCCAGTACAAAACCGTAGCCCACTTTAATGAACCATTTTCTGGAAAATGCTACGTTGCAATGGTTACGGAACTATTTCGTCGGGATTTGTAAGATTATCATGTAACTGTTGTAAATAGTTGATCTAAATGTTACAGACTCGACAGAATAGTTCCGCGACGGGACTGTAGAATCTCCCCCATTTTCCTTTGAATATATTTAATTTTTTATATAAAAAAAATTAAGAATTAAAAGGTCATATGTTTTTACGAGCAGTTATCTAATAATAAGTGGCTGTAGTTTAGTGGTTAGAATTCCACGTTGTGGCCGTGGAGACCTGGGCTCGAATCCCAGCAGCCACATTTTTTTTATAATTCAATTATTTTTTTTTTCCCATTTATTCCCATTTTTTTATAAGTAACAAATTTTCGAATCATAACTTGTGCACTCAATCAAAAAAGTTAATAGGAATATATCTCTTCCTTATATTTTTGTTGCTAGAAAACACTAAAACGAGTCATTTTTAAATGTTCAAAATTGCGGTCATTATTTGGTTAAATAACAAAGAAGTTGACTTTTAATTAAGTCTTTTTTTCCCTTCATTTTTTTTTTCATTTAATATATATAATATCTTAATATTCTTGATTTATTTTCAATCAAAGTATCCAATTTATTTATGTATATCTATTTATCAGTTTTGCTATGGAGCCATCGGATGGCTCGGCTTATGGAGCAATCCATACTTAATCACCAATAGTGCATTGACACGTGTCCTACAATAAATACAATTTAGACAGGTGTCACTATATTAAGTGATGAATGACTCCATAAGAAAACAATCCGATGGCTCCATAGAATTTTTGATCTATTTATAATAATTGAAAGAGGTTGTTGGATTTATTAAAATTATAAAGTTTTTATTGGTCAAATATGGTTGACTTTTCAACATTAGTAATTGTGATTATAATTTAAAGAGAATGGTTTTTCTGTTTCCTGATTTTACGTAAACGAATCTCTTAATGTATTTGAAAGACAAATATTTTTTTTACCTTTCCTTACGAATCAAATTTTTGTATCGATAAATTTAAAAACCCGATCATATTATTTATTTTATTCCCTTTACACTGACCGGGTCAAATTTTATGTCAAACGCAAGATTTATGATTTTTTTGCTTGAATTATTTTTGTAATCAATTAAAAATATGTTAAATTGAAAAATTACTCGAATAGCATTGTCAATAAAATTGGGAGATTTTTATATATTTACTACATATCAATTTGAAGATTTCGTACAAATCTTGGAATCATTTTCAACATTTTTTCAACTAAAAAAGATTGATAACTTAATAACATTTAAAGCGATTTTGCTTTTCAAAATAATTTAGAAAAACTTTAGGTGACCTTGCATTTTTTTTAGAATAATATATAATATTTTAGATAATTTATCATATGTTATATAATATTTTATGTATTTCAAATATTTTAAACATACATATTTAATGTTATTTTATATAATTAAAAAAAGTATAAACATATTAGTACAAATTATTTAGCTATTCAAGTATAATCAAATAATATACTAATAGTATTTGTCGAACTGTTATATAAATTATCATATTATAATTAAATCCTTTCCGAATATATGTTTCTATTTAAATTCTAGTGGCACCGGTTTCTACTCATAGTTTTGTATGCATGATGATAAAGAAGAGTCCGTTTTTATTCATGACCAATTATATGTTGTGGTTTCATGTGTAAGTAGTAGAAATGAGTTAAAAATATCAGTTTGTGTGACGACGAGTTGCCCAGTAATCAAGCTAATAATGTTGTGTACCGGTTTTGCTATGAAGCCAACAATTGGCTTCATAGTGGAACCAACTTTTTATATACAACAAATAAACCTACTATATTAATAAAATTATATTAGTGTCATTTATGTAATTAGAGAATATGCTAGATTTATTTGTTGTATACAGAAGGTTGGCACCACTATGGAGCCAACTGTTGGCTTCATAGCAAAACCGATGTTGTGTACATGGAGATTTTTAATAATATATTATTTTTTTCATTAGGAACATTTTATGATTTGACAATTTTTCTATGTAGTAATACTCTTTTTATTTATAAATACACTTCAATTTATAGTATTTCACTCTTTTATTTATTAATATACTTCAATTTATAATAAACCTTAAAAAATACAGCCCGCGCATTGCACAAGTTACATACTAGTTAGAAATATTGTAATCAATACCTAGCCTCGGACAAGCCATTCTCGTCTACATCTAGACGCCACTGCATCTAAGGCCAAACTAGCAAGTATTAACAACTTCAGAACTATCAAATTCGAAATTACAACCTGAAAATAAATCACCCATAAAGTAGATGGATTCAGCTACTGCCTTACAAGAATCTTCAAATGAATCCACAGCCATTTTGCCTTCATAACTCTAACTTTGGTTATTTTATATAGAGGAAAAAAAAAAAACCCAATAAATTTAACCTAAACAATTTATAGGGATAGCAATGGCTGAGTCCTACAATATGAAATACTAACACGACGCGATAAGTGCATTATAAATATAGTTAAATTAAGTTTGAACTTATTGTCGTATTTATGATAGAATAAACATTAAACATCGACTGTTAAACACCAGTACAACACTATAGTCTATAACACGATGCGACGAGACTCTCACATTGCAGAGAATTTTATTTTTCGTTCAAACATTATTTAATTTATTTATTTATTGCTGGAATTGTTTAATTTATATATTGTTTCAAAATAATTCTGATCCAAAATAATTGAGTGAGAACATGTAGAAGCACGATACGATTATAAGCACAACTTAAATAATTTAATAAAATTTGAACTTTTTGTCGTATTTATGATAAAAAAAAAAAAACATAAAAAATTGACTGTAAAACACGAGCACAACACCATAACACGATTTGTCGATGCTCTCACGTTGTAGAGATTTCCACATTTCGGAACTATTAATTACCGTTAGATCATCATGTAGCCGTCAGGAATAGTTGATCTAATGATTACAAACTCTGACGAAATGGTTCCGTAACGAAAACGGTAACATTTCCCTATAATGACATATACATTTTTATATGAATACCTATATACATACACGTATGGACTCAGAGAGAAAGAACACTACATTAATTTCATCTACACAGCTCACAATTCTGTAACATAGAATTCAATGTGAATGGTCAACTCGTATTCATTTGCATTCAAACAAAAAGGGAAAAAAAAGTTGTTTACGTGTTGTTTCATAGAATGTAGGGTTTTGAGTCCTACCTAATAGATATAAAACCAATTCCAAATCAAATAACTAAAGGGAAAAAACATGTTTAATTGAACGGAACAATTGAAAATCTTCCATTTTGTAACAGTTTACAATAGGAGCTCCGGCGAACTCGAATGTAACAAATAATGTTTTACGGATGCGTAGTGTCCCAAAAAACACAACAATTAAAATCTTCTATTATGTAATCGTTTACAATGATCAGAGCTCCGGCGAACTCGAATGTAAACAAATAGTGTGTTTTACGGGGCTTAATGTCTCAAAAAATACAACAATCGAAACCTTCGATTTTGTAACACTTTACAATAGGAGCTCCGGCGAACTCCAATGTGTCTTTCCTGTATTTGTTTTCTAGCACATTTCTCTACCTAATGTGTCTTTTTTGTACATATTTATTTTCAAGCACATTTCATATTATTATTTTAGAATGAGTGAAGGATAGAGTTAAGTGCTTACATAAAGAAATATCACAGTTTTGCTATGGAGCCATCGGATTGCTCGGTTTATAGAGCAATCCATACTTAATCACCAATAGTGCATTGACACGTGTCCTACAATAGATACAATTTAGACAGGTGTCACTATATTAAGTGATGGATGGATGGCTCCATAAGAAAACAATCCGATGACTCCATAGAATTTTTGAGAAACATCAATGCACGCGGTAGGCGATACGGCCAGTACTCACATATACTCACCAACTGCATAATTATTAAATTATCACAACAGTTCCACATTATAATATCAGGGGTGGCTTTGTAATTATCCAAAAGAATGAATATTTTCTTGATTATTCTAGTAAATTGCCTAAATCTCAGTGGTGGCTTTGTAATTATCCAAAAGATTATTGCAAATTTTTCCACTAATTAGTACAGTTAGCCCCATTTTTACTTGGGGCACCCATGTCACCAATCACCACCAACATGCACTTTCTGTCTAAGCCTAAACAAATAAGCTTGATCAAAACAACAGCCACTTGATAAAAATTTACTATTTTCCACAAAACACTAGAGCTTTTAAACGAAACATAATCTCGGTTCGTCTCGTTTGATGAACGAACCAGCTGAAGCTCGACTTGGTAAGACTCGAAAATAAGAATCTGAATATATTATCTATAAATTTAGCTCGTTAATGCTTGAGTTTGGCTTGAACTTGATTTGCTTATCAATATTAATGAATCGGGTTTAAATTTATTTAACTACCGACTCGGCTTGATAAAAAAACTCATTGTCAAGTACTTACTATGTTGCACAAACCACTAGAACCTTTAAACGAAATATAATCTCGTCAGCTCGAGCTCGACTCGAGAAGATTAGAAAATAAGAATCTTAATATATAATTTTCTACAAATTTAGCAAACTCGATTTGCTGATCAATCTTAACGAACCGAGTTTACATTCATTTAACTATCCGCTCGACTTGAAAAAAAAACTCGAACTCAAATACTTGGGCTCGAACTCGACTGGTTTACACCAATCACTAAATAAATTGACATCAATGCACTACATGATCATGAACATCACGCAAGAGCTTTTTTACATGCAATAATTTTTAACAATATCTCGAATAAATCTTGCACTTAGCCCAAGAAGCATTATCTTCCCTATCCCTCTTTCATATCCTTTTATCTTATTGGTGGGTCTAACTTTTATAACTTCGAAAGATCAGAGAGAGGGATAGAAAGACTTACATGATGACGTGGCCATTTCACGGGCCGCGACCCTGCCCGCCTGCCGGGTCGGCGGGCCTCGAATTGATGACCCTCAACCGGCCCGGAAATTTATATGGGTCAGCCCTGAACTGCCGGGTCACCGACCCGCCGATTCCGAGCCTGTTCGGCCCGTGAAAAAACAAGTGTAGCCGGTCTTTTCAACCTGCGGCCCGGCCCGTTCCGGTTCAACGAACCGACGAAATATGGGCCGAGTAGGCCCGTGGCCATGTCCACATGATGCTAAACATTATTCTATTCCCATGTTACAAAAATAATAAAATGTCACATTATCTAAATCATGAGATGCACAGTTCGTACGAAATTTGTATGGCTACACAAATAAATACTAAAATAGAACTACACAAAGGATAAACACATACTCTCTCACCCACACTTATATAAACCCTTTACTCACATTCAAAAATCTCAAAACTCCCCCAAAAAGGAAAAAAAAAAAAAAAATCCAAGAATATGACCAACATCATGAATGGAAAATTCCTCAGAGCATGCAAGAAGAAGTGCCGGGCCGCGGGCCGGAAAATAGAACCTTCCGGAAACCCGTTCTACGACTGCTGCAAGTGGGCCCGGTGGGCCCACGAGGACGAAAAGCCCGTCGTCCCCAAAGATGTCCCGAAGGGCCATTTGGCCGTGTACGTGGGCGAAAACCAAACGAGGCACGTCATCAAAGTCAATTTTCTCAAGAACCCGATTTTCCGAGCCCTTCTCGAACAAGCTCGGGAGGAATATGATTACACGGCCGATTCACGACTTTTTATCCCGTGTGACGAGAGCATGTTCCTTAGCGTGGTCCAGTGCACCAGGTCACCGCCGGATTGTAGATGCCTGTGACGAAACGGACGAAACTCATCGTGCCTGCAGAAAGAAAAGAAAAAAGTATAAAGTTCGTTTGTTTAGTTTAACTGTCAGAACTGTTGTAGCACTATTGTTGCAGAGGGATTTTGTGTATACTCTGTTTTACTATTCTGGTGTGATGAAAATTTTCAGTCAGCAGGGAATTTTTTTTCTGCAAAGGAAATTTTTCAGGTTAGGAGAATTTTTTTATTTTTTTTATTTTTTTTTTGAGGTGAGACGAAACGTTTCGAAGCTGCGATTTTCGACTAAATGGTGATAGCCAGAGTGCAAAGTAAGAGAGATAGAAAGATATTGTTCCAGCAGGATGCAGAATAATTCAGCAAAAGAAGAAAAGAAAAGAAAGAATGCATTTTGTTGGTATGAATTATGTGGGAGCTCTATCGGTCATCCGCTGAGTATGGTGCAAATGAAGAGCCGCTCGAGTCAAAGTTTGGCTCAAGCTCGAGTTTGATCGAACTCGAGCCGAGCTCGAGCATGCTACCGAGTCGATCTCGAGCATAGCTTTTGGAAGGTCGAGCGACTCGCGAGCGGCTCGAGATATATAGTGAATTACAAAATTACCTTTATATATAAATTTTACAATATTTTGTATATGTACTAAATGGCTCAATTAAATTATAATGCTTCTTCTATTAGTGAAATTTCTAGAAAAAAAATATATCAAACGACGCAATGCACCTTGGGTCGCTACGTAAACAGTCTCAGCCTCCTTGTAATTAAGATAAGTTATGCGTACAACTGACCCCCCAGACCCCAACCAGTTGGGAATATACTGGGTATGTTGTTGTTGTTGTAATAAATGATAATTTTACTTGAAATATGAGTCAAACTCGAGCAATCTGTCAAGCATTTTGGTTTCAATCAATCTCAAGCCGAGCTCAAGCGATTGTCTTCTTTGTCAAGTCGATCTCGAGCGTCATAAATCTAAAAAAAAAAAAAACAAAAAAAAAAAATCAATTTTACTTGATAAGGCCAATGCTCGACTCGGCTCAGCTCTTTTGTAGTCCTACCTCTGAGTCATGATCAAGAATTTTCACATAAATTTGATCTAACCTCAAGGGGCATTTGTAACCTTAAAAAAAAAACTTCGTTTTTTTTTTTGGCAATGCACAAAAATCTCAGGAGACTTTCCTGTAACTATCTCCAGAATCGATATATGGATAGATAATACCCATAATCTACCATAGTTTACTCTGCACATGTATCGATTTTCAGACCATAATAATGGAGTCTTGATTCATGAGCTAAAACATCATTTTCGACAATGAGCATTCAATTGGCAGCTCTTAACATTTTCAATGGTAGCATTACCAATATAGACTTTTACCAGCAGTAAAATATAGTTCATAAAAGGAGTAAAAATGCACTGCTTTAAAAAAAAAAAAAACACTTATGAGAAAACAGTGAAAAAGTCCTCAATGTAACAAGTTCGCAAGTGAGAAGATGAAACCTGATTGTTGTTACTGATTCGGTGCAATGGAAGCCGACCGAATTAAGACCTGCTAAAAAGACTTTTGAATATTGTAAATATAGGAATTAGCAACAAGAGGACCACCTAAATGCTAAATAGGAAGTTTAACTTTCTCCATTCTAATAAATGCTACAAATATTAATACATAAACATGAAAACTTAGGTAAACTTGTAGAAATTCAAATATACTTTCCAACTCAAATGTTCTAACTTTTCTAGTTCATGTCTTTGATCACAATTCAAGATACCAAAACAAGTCCCAAATAATTCTAAATTTAAATATTCAACCAACAACGGATTCTAGCCCGACTGCAAGTGTTTTTTTTTTCCTTTTTATTTTTCAATGCCAACTTCAAAACCATATTTTCCCGGTCGAGCAAANNNAAAAAAAAAAAAAAAAAGAAGCAAAATTCAAAAACAGTAACCAACATCATTCTCCACACGATTGCAATCACTACTTACTATGAAAAATCAGTATACCAATATACCATCAAATCAAGAGAACAATAATATATGCCTATGTGTTACACTTGAGCTCAATGCTCAAATGATAGTAGACTTAACAACAATGCAAACAACAATTGAACTTCCGTGTCACCCTTTCCTATCAAAAACAAAAACCAAGAACATAACATTCTTGAATGGCCAAAAAAAACACAAAATTGTATGCACATGGTGATATGATATTTCTTGAAAAGATTTACAGTTGATAATTACCCCATCATAAAAGGTACAACAGCTTCAGTGAACGATGACATCACCAAACAATGGCAAGTGTGCTAATTTCACAATAGTTTCAAAAGGAACAGCAAAGGCACCAAAATGGGCTAACCCTATTTAGCATCACCTAGCAATATCAAGAAGACCTTCCAATTCTCTTCGACCAAACGTCCTCCCAAGGGCAGCATCGTCTTTCTGTCTCGCTGCAAAGTAAAAGATCAGCCAAGCCACCATGAAATAAACCTCCATTAATGACTGTAAACACAATGTGAAAACCTCCCCAAATACTCTCCTCAACATCCATCTCCCCACGGACCCACAAATGATTGCTTCTAACCAACGTATTTCGAAAGCAGGACCGAATAATGCCGTTAATATCCTGCAACCTTCTTTCACAATCTCTCTGCCACCTCTCCTCGAGTCCACAATCGCAACCCAAGAATCGACAGAAAACAATAAACCCACTAACAAATCACTCAAGAACCACATCACAATGAACCCTGCACTGTCCCACTCGTGTCCCTTGACCCACGGCGCCAAGTTGGCAAAAGGCATGAACTTCATCCTCAAGAAAACTTTAAAGAACATGTATTGATCTTCAATCTCGCCAAAGAAATATATCCCCATCAACTGAGCAAGGGCATCCCTCACGGCCCATTTCATCAGAACGAAACCCGAAAGCCTCCTCAGCCCGACATTTGACCCGTCCCAGAACGTGCGGAAAAATGACCTGTAATTTCCGAGCAAGTGGTCCACTACTTTCAAGAAAACGACCCCGTTTGCCCAAGTGTAAGTCACGATGAATGCAAACACAACATATGCATAAGCTGCGGATAAAACCCCTGCCAAGAAGAACAGAGAAGTGGCATCCCGGCGCCCCAATTCGAAACCTTTCATCAAGAACTCCAAATCCAAGACCGCATTGGGATCTTCCAAGTTGCTGCTTTCCACCGATTTGATCTCCTCTTGCTCCAAAACAGTAGTATTCTTTTCAAATCTTGCCTTGAAACCGCAATCCCCAGGCTTGACAATAGCCGGGAAGGAAATCCCGTTATCGATAATAGAACCGGAGAAGCCGTAGCTAGGGCTGAAGTCCGAGAGAATCAGGAGCGTGGCATTTGGGAGGGGCTTTGTCGAGGAAGGGCCGAAGAGAGAGCGGTCGAAATTCGAGCCCCCGGAGAAGAATTCGTCGTCGAGGGTCCCGACGCGGGAGACGTGGAGGAAGCCGCCACGGCGGCGGTGGCGGTGGTGGTGGTGTTGGTGGCCGCCGCCGCCGCCGCCGAGGCGGGCGGCGTCGTCGATCCGCGAGAGGAGCGATTTGAGGGAGGGATCGCGGTCGATTAGGGATGAGAGGTAGTGGGAGGCGCTGTGGACATTGGAGCGGAAGGTGAGGACGAGGGTCGAGAGGAAGAGGAAAGTGAGGAGGTGGGAGCATAAGAGCGACGTCGTCTGCTTGAGGATTTGGGCGGTGGTGGTGAGGCGGATGTACGGCGGAGGGGGAGGGGGAGGAGGAGGTGGAAGAGGGTTGCGGTGGTTCATGGCGGCGTGTGATGTGTGATTGGGGGAAAAAATTGCAGGGATTTGGGATTTACAGTGTTTGCCGAGTCTTGGATCTTGGAGACGGGGACGAAAGGTAGTGTGTGTGTGTGGTAAAGAGAACCTTTTTTTAATTATTTATTTAGTTTTTTTTTTTTTTTTTT